ACACACACTCACACACACCTGGGGGCAGGTCCGGGTCGCTGGGGTTCTGCTGCACACGTCGAGGTTTAGCCGACGCCCTCGAGCTCTCAGACGCGCTGCGATTGGTGGAACTGGACCCACAGCTCTCATTATCATCCTGCACACAGAAACAACACAATCACAAGCTTACACACACATCTGAGAGAGGAAGAGCGTGTGTGTGTGAGTGAGTGTGTGTGTATGTGTGTGTGTGAGAGAGACTGTGAGTGTGAGTGTGTGTGTGTGTGTGTGTGTGTGTATGTGTGTGTGTGTGTGTGTGTGTGTGTGTGTGTGTGTGTGTGTGTGAGTGTGTGAGTGTGTGTGTGTGTGTGTGAGAGAGAGACTGTGAGTGAGTGTGTGTGTGTGTGTGTGAGAGAGAGAGACTGTGAATGTGTGTGTGTGTGTGTGTGTGTGTGAGAGAGAGAGAGACTGTGAGTGTGTGTGTGTGTGTGTGTGTGAGAGAGAGAGACTGTGAATGTGTGTGTGTGTGTGTGTGTGTGTGTGTGAGAGAGAGACTGTGAGTGTGTGTGTGTGAGAGAGACTGTGAGTGTGAGTGTGTGAGAGAGAGAGAGACTGTGAGTGTGTGTGTGTGTGTGTGTGAGAGAGAGACTGTGAATGTGTGTGTGTGTGTGTGTGTGTGTGTGTGTGTGTGTGTGTGTGTGTGTGTGTGTGTGTGTGTGTGTGTGTGTGTGTGTGTGTGTGTGTGTGTGTGTGTGTGTGTGTGTGTGTGTGTGTGTGTGTGTGTGTGTGTGTGAGAGAGACTAAGTGTCACATATTCAAGTTCACACGGAGATTATAAAGTTTATAAAAAAAAATCAGCGCTTGCACCTCGGATCCTGTTTCAGAGTGTGTGTTCTCGAGCTCAAACACTGATGTGTGCGGATGAGCGGCCGGATCGCATTAAGGGTTCTCAGTAGAGCGGTGTCGTGTTAGCGGCCCCTAAGTTAATCACTAATGATCTTTACAACGGAAGTGAATCAATCAAAACTAACTTTATCTGGACAATAACTTTATTCTAGATCTGTGTGTCTGAGTGTGTGTGTGTGTGTGTGTGTGTTTGTAGCTGAGTGTATGTGTCTGAAGGAATGAGGGATAAACAGCAGTAAAGGTTTATTTCTCGTTTATTGCGGCGTGTTTGCGATGAAAGAGTGAAGAAGTGTCTAAAAGAATCAGACGAGTGGATGTCGAGGTCAGACACAAACGTCCCAGAATGCCTGTCACTGATAACACACACTGTCACTGATAACACACACTGATTTACTGGAGAGATTCACTTTACTGCATCAGTAACGGCCCATACACCCCCACAGCCCGACCTTTGACCTCAGACCAACATCACATGGGTCCTGAGTTAAACACACTCAGTCAACCTCCGTAACATCAACAAAACCCTTAACCATCCACACACACACACACAGCACCAGCTGCGTTAATGAAGACGTCTCACACACACACACACACACACACACACACACACACAGGAGCGATTAACACTTCATTCACAGACGAGCTGCTCTGTTACTCAAGACTGAATCTTCAGCTCAGCAACTCCTGATGATTATTCACACACCTCCACGTCTGCACACACACACACACACACACACACAGCGCAGCTTCACTGCAGATCGTGAACATGAAGCGTATATTTCTGCAGGATCATATTCAGCTGCTCAGAGGAACTGTAAAAACAAACTCACTCATTAGATCATTAATCATCAGAACAACTCAAAGCTTAGCAGACACTAGACCCTCCTTCTGTTCGGAACACACACACACACACACACACATCTGAGACACAACACACACATCTGAGACACAACACACACATCTGAGACACAACACACACACACACACACACATCTGAGACCCAACACACACACACATCTGAGACACAACACACACATCTGAGATACAACACACACACACATCTGAGACACAACACACACATCTGAGATACAACACACACACACATCTGAGACACAACACACACATCTGAGACACAACACACACATCTGAGACCCAACACACACACACATCTGAGACACAACACACACATCTGAGATACAACACACACATCTGAGACACAACACACAAACACACACACACATCTGAGACCCAACACACACACACATCTGAGACACAACACACACATCTGAGACACAACACACACACACACATCTGAGACAACACACACACATCTGAGACACAACACACACATCTGAGACACAACACACAAACACACACACACATCTGAGACCCAACACACACACACATCTGAGACACAACACACACATCTGAGACACAACACACACACACACATCTGAGACAACACACACACATCTGAGACACAACACACACATCTGAGACACAACACACAAACACACACACACATCTGAGACCCAACACACACACACATCTGAGACCCAACACACACACACATCTGAGACACAACACACACATCTGAGACACAACACACACACACACACACACATCTGAGACAACACACACATCTGAGACCCAACACACACACACATCTGAGACACAACACACACATCTGAGACCCAACACACACATCTGAGACACAACACACAAACACACACACACATCTGAGACACAACACACACACATCTGAGACCCAACACACACACACATCTGAGACACAACACACACATCTGAGACACAACACACTGTGTGTGTGCGTGTGCGTCCGCTGTCGGGTCTCTCTGCTTTACCAGCGCATAATTTGTCTCAACGTCATTTGCAATTTTCCAAAAGTTCTTTCTAACCCGGGCGGCTCTGTGAAACACATCTGCATCAAATACCTGTTTGGGAATGTCCCAGTGTATACGGTGCTGTTTCCACATGGCAGTAGCTCAGAGCAGTGCAACACACACACACACACACACACATCAGTGCAGAGCAACACACACATGTTCCAGATCTGTTCTGCAGAAGCCGCTATAATCAGCTCTAATTGACTTCCCTCCTAAATGTGTTTCTAACTGGCCATCTGGACCTCCTCTGAACGACTCGCTGAAGAACTCGAGATCTCCAACGTCCATGGCAAGCTTTATTTCTATAGCACTTTATGTTTCACAGCAGCTTCACGGAAATAAACAGGAAATAACAGAATCAATTTTGAAAAAAATCATCAAATATAAGAAAAAATCTGATTCTGCTGTAAAAAGTATCTCGTGTGTATCTCAGGTGTATCTCAGGTGTATCTCGTGTGTATCTCAGGTGTATCTCAGGTGTATCTCAGGTGTATCTGGTGTATATCTGGTGTGTATCTCAGGTGTATCTCGTGTGTATCTCGTGTGTATCTCAGGTGTATCTCGTGTGTATCTCAGGTGTATCTCAGGTGTATCTCAGGTGTATCTCAGGTGTATCTCAGGTGTATCTCAGGTGTATCTCAGGTGTATCTCGTGTGTATCTGGTGTATATCTGGTGTGTATCTCAGGTGTATCTCAGGTGTATCTCAGGTGTATCTCAGGTGTATCTCAGGTGTATCTCAGGTGTATCTCGTGTGTATCTGGTGTATATCTGGTGTGTATCTCAGGTGTATCTCAGGTGTATCTCAGGTGTATCTCAGGTGTATCTCGTGTGTATCTCAGGTGTATCTCAGGTGTATCTCGTGTGTATCTCAGGTGTATCTCGTTTGTATCTCGTGTGTATCTGGTGTATATCTGGTGTGTATCTCAGGTGTATCTCGTGTGTATCTGGTGTATATCTGGTGTGTATCTCAGGTGTATCTCGTGTGTATCTCAGGTGTATCTCAGGTGTATCTCAGGTGTATCTCAGGTGTATCTCAGGTGTATCTCAGGTGTATCTCAGGTGTATCTCAGGTGTATCTCGTGTGTATCTCAGGTGTATCTCAGGTGTATCTCGTGTGTATCTCAGGTGTATCTAAGGTGTATCTCAGGTGTATCTCAGGTGTATCTCAGGAGTATCTCAGGTGTATCTCGTGTGTATCTCAGGTGTATCTCGTGTATATCTGGTGTGTATCTCAGGTGTATCTCAGGTGTATCTCGTGTGTATCTCAGGTGTATCTCGTGTGTATCTCAGGTGTATCTCAGGTGTATCTCAGGTGTATCTCAGGTGTATCTCAGGTGTATCTCGTGTGTATCTGGTGTATATCTGGTGTGTATCTCAGGTGTATCTCGTGTGTATCTGGTGTATATCTGGTGTGTATCTCAGGTGTATCTCGTGTGTATCTCAGGTGTATCTCAGGTGTATCTCGTGTGTATCTCAGGTGTATCTCAGGTGTATCTCAGGTGTATCTCAGGTGTATCTCAGGTGTATCTCGTGTGTATCTCAGGTGTATCTCAGGTGTATCTCGTGTGTATCTCAGGTGTATCTCAGGTGTATCTCAGGTGTATCTCAGGTGTATCTCGTGTGTATCTCAGGTGTATCTCAGGTGTATCTCAGGTGTATCTCAGGTGTATCTCGTGTGTATCTCAGGTGTATCTCAGGTGTATCTCGTGTGTATCTCAGGTGTATCTCAGGTGTATCTCGTGTGTATCTCAGGTGTATCTCAGGTGTATCTCAGGTGTATCTCGTGTGTATCTCAGGTGTATCTCAGGTGTATCTCAGGTGTATCTCGTGTGTATCTCAGGTGTATCTCAGGTGTATCTCGTGTGTATCTCAGGTGTATCTCAGGTGTATCTCGTGTGTATCTCAGGTGTATCTCAGGTGTATCTCGTGTGTATCTCAGGTGTATCTCAGGTGTATCTCGTGTGTATCTCAGGTGTATCTCAGGTGTATCTCAGGTGTATCTCGTGTGTATCTCAGGTGTATCTCAGGTGTATCTCAGGTGTATCTCGTGTGTATCTCAGGTGTATCTCAGGTGTATCTCGTGTGTATCTCAGGTGTATCTCAGGTGTATCTCAGGTGTATCTCAGGTGTATCTCGTGTGTATCTCAGGTGTATCTCAGGTGTATCTCAGGTGTATCTCAGGTGTATCTCAGGTGTATCTCGTGTGTATCTCAGGTGTATCTCAGGTGTATCTCAGGTGTATCTCAGGTGTATCTCAGGTGTATCTCAGGTGTATCTCGTGTGTATCTCAGGTGTATCTCAGGTGTATCTCGTGTGTATCTCAGGTGTATCTCAGGTGTATCTCGTGTGTATCTCAGGTGTATCTCAGGTGTATCTCAGGTGTATCTCGTGTGTATCTCAGGTGTATCTCAGGTGTATCTCAGGTGTATCTCAGGTGTATCTCGTGTGTATCTGGTGTATATCTGGTGTGTATCTCAGGTGTATCTCAGGTGTATCTCAGGTGTATCTCAGGTGTATCTCGTGTGTATCTCAGGTGTATCTCAGGTGTATCTCAGGTGTATCTCAGGTGTATCTCGTGTGTATCTGGTGTATATCTGGTGTGTATCTCAGGTGTATCTCAGGTGTATCTCGTGTGTATCTCAGGTGTATCTCAGGTGTATCTCAGGTGTATCTCAGGTGTATCTCAGGTGTATCTCAGGTGTATCTCAGGTGTATCTCGTGTGTATCTCAGGTGTATCTCAGGTGTATCTCAGGTGTATCTCAGGTGTATCTCAGGTGTATCTCGTGTGTATCTGGTGTATATCTGGTGTGTATCTCAGGTGTATCTCAGGTGTATCTCAGGTGTATCTCAGGTGTATCTCGTGTGTATCTCAGGTGTATCTCAGGTGTATCTCAGGTGTATCTCAGGTGTATCTCGTGTGTATCTGGTGTATATCTGGTGTGTATCTCAGGTGTATCTCAGGTGTATCTCGTGTGTATCTCAGGTGTATCTCAGGTGTATCTCAGGTGTATCTCGTGTGTATCTGGTGTATATCTGGTGTGTATCTCAGGTGTATCTCAGGTGTATCTCAGGTGTATCTCGTGTGTATCTCGTGTGTATCTCAGGTGTATCTCAGGTGTATCTCAGGTGTATCTCAGGTGTATCTCAGGTGTATCTCAGGTGTATCTCGTGTGTATCTGGTGTATATCTGGTGTGTATCTCAGGTGTATCTCGTGTGTATCTCGTGTGTATCTCAGGTGTATCTCAGGTGTATCTCGTGTGTATCTCGTGTGTATCTCAGGTGTATCTCAGGTGTATCTGGTGTATATCTGGTGTGTATCTCAGGTGTATCTCAGGTGTATCTCGTGTGTATCTCAGGTGTATCTCAGGTGTATCTCGTGTGTATCTCGTGTGTATCTCAGGTGTATCTCAGGTGTATCTCGTGTATATCTGGTGTGTATCTCAGGTGTATCTCAGGTGTATCTCGTGTGTATCTCAGGTGTATCTCGTGTGTATCTCGTGTGTATCTCAGGTGTATCTCAGGTGTATCTCAGACACTGACCGCGGCTCCGTCCCGAAGCTTGAGGATGCACTCCATGGTGTTGATGGTGATGACCACGGGCTCGGAGCTCAGTTTGGTCCAGGGCACGTGGATGCGCAGCTCGTGGATGTGGCCGCTCAGGAACATGAAGGGCAGCTTGAGCTCCTGCACACACACACCATCTGTCAGTCAAAACACTGAGAACAACAAACGTTTTGCTGTAGAGCTCAATCAGAAGGATCGCACAGAACAGCGTTTGAAATTAACTTTTTCACTCACCGGCCAATTTGGCTACTACATTTTTAAGTTACCGGCCACTCAGAACTTCTACTAGCCGGGAAAAAAAAGGAAAGAAATGAACCGGATTAACTATGTCAAAGCTTTAATACATATTAATATATATAAAATTTTGATTTCTTATTCAAAAACAGATCCTATTATCCAGCATCTCCTCTTCCTCTTTCATCCTCATCACCAAACATGTGTTTTAGGAGGACAGATCAATGCAGGACACAGAATATAAAAAAAGAAAATAACAATGTCTTTTCTGTAAACCAAATGTTTTTAATCTCCGCTATTGCTTCAGTGCAAACGAACAAGCGCTGTTATATGTGGCGCAGTGACGAGTGTGTTCAGGTTAGCAGATATGAGCCGATTCTACGCTGTGTTTAATATATCATGATGACTCACGAGTATTTGCGCTGAATCTGCACAGATGTGTCTTACTCGAACTTCTCCAGCAAAGTGAGTAAACATAATGAGTAACACACCGACTTAGCTCGTGATTTGACAGCGTTCCTCGCCACAGCTGATTTATACCCGCATTTGGCGAGTGTTAGTTTCAACCCCTGGTACAGAAGTAACGAGTGTACAGGCTTCGAGCGCCTCCAGAGCTGGTCTGTCCGGACTCCAGTCGCTTCCACAGGAGATCTCCGAGGAAAGCTAAACTCCCGCTCGGGAGTCGGGACGAGGAAAGCTGCTTCTAATAATATCCTGCATCAAAGTCTGAGAGCCAAACATTCTCACAACATGACACAGTGATCCCTTCCAGATATCACAACTGCAAAAGCTCAGAGTTGCCCAAATAAGAAAGCGGTTCTGGAGTGGATGCGAGCGAGTGTCAGACGGCGAGAGGACGCTCCGAGGAACGCTACACCGACACTCATGCTATCCTCATAGCGGCTCAGTGTTCAGCTCTCTGACGCCACGATGCTAATGCTGTCAGATAGATCTACACTACGTGTCAGGGAAAGAGTTTTATCGAGAAACTCAATTATGATTTCTTTTCTAACAGATAAAAATCATTCCACATGCTTGTAACAATTCCACAAACTGGCCAGAATGAGGTGCCATCATTCTCCTCGCCGGCGCAGCAGATCAGAACACGTCCTTCCCTGTCTAATCTGCCAGAGCTACCCAGATTACATTGGTTTTTTTTTGTGGTTTTTTTCTGTAGAAAGACAAACATCAATAGATATAAAAAGCCAAAATATTAAATGTCATTAAATGTCATGGATGTATATTTACGGGGTAATCCACTGTTTTGTAGAGGGTGTGTGTGTGTGTGTGTGTGTGACCAAATTTCAGAGGAGTAAAAATGACTTTAGAAATATGGCAGCATCATTATTTTATTTGTACACAGATATTAGTAGATCTATTAGTCAAATCTGATGACTTTAGCAACCTCTGTTTCATGATATCCCAACAGTGAAAGTTCACAAATTGGAAAAAGCACTTTTTTTTGCCCGAAGTTTGCATGCCTGAAACTCCAGAAGTATTAAAGATATCATCCTTTCAGATTCCAGCTCTTAACAAACTTTCCTTTTCAAGGCTCTAATGGTTCAGTCCCAGAGACACGGAGATCTTCATGTGGAGCAAACACACGTTCAGTGTTCGAAACCCAGATGCGGGTCACTGCACACAGCTAATACTCTCTTTCTTGAAGGACAATTAATGTTGAAACTTATTTGTTTTTTCTATCAGCTCTGCATGGAGCTCTCCTGTCTGAGAGCCATGAACATCATTCTTCCAAAGTTTGTGTGCCTGTAAATCTAAAGACAATCCACTGAAGATGTTGTGAATCTGCCGGGAAGAGGACGTGTCTTTATCGTCCGGATGCACGAGTTCGAGTGGCCAAAGCCTCTCCAGGATCACAGATGGAGAGTCGCAGAGATTAGTGAGTCTTGTAGGCCGCTGTCGGTAGCCTAAAAGAGGCCTAGAAATAGGGTTTCGTTCCACCATGTGGGGCACTACCCAATCAGAAATATATAGAGATTCCTTAGGAAAAAGTTCTCCGCACACAACCTTGCAGTTTTTGAGAAAAATGATGCTAAAGGTGCCCATTTTGAAAAAAAGGGAAAACATAGGGAATTTTGCACTTTCAAACTGTTTATCATATAAACCCAAAAATGCCGAATTACCACCTGAGGTACAAAATAAACCAGTTTGAAATGTGTGATATACCTGAAGTTGCTATCTAGGCACAGTAAACATAAGATTATCAAGAAAACTTCTACTGTAGCATTAACATCCCAATTACTTCTCATTATGTTGTTCCAATTCAAAGGTAATATTTGAGGTAAAATCTGAATAACAAATAGAATTCAGCCAAAATATAATATATAAAAAAAACACTTTTCAAAATAACACATTTAATGGTGAATTGTCAATTCGCATACACGAGCAGTAACAATATTACACGTATTATATTTGAGTAGATTTTAAGGTTTTTTTTGTGTGTGAAATATACCCGACTAAATTAAGTAAAATTTCCTAAATTATTTAGTCTATGGCACATGATGAATTTAATATTATTAGTGTGGAATGTGCTTTTTTAATATAAGTTGTCTCACAAATAAATCAAGCAGAATTTACTCGTTTGTATTAATGAAATTTACTTAATTATAACATTTACTGCCTTTTTCAGGTTAAGATAATAATGAATACATAATGCACTTTTTGTTATCAAACATGCTTTTATTCTGTTTTTTTTGCACAAATAAAACAAATCTATATAAAATGTAAGACAGCAGTTTTAAGATATTAAAAAAATAAAAGCAAAAAAATGCTAACATTTGCCATGTCATTGAGAAAGATCATTTTGTTACACAAAAACATGTGCATACAAATTTCTGTTGGAAAAGTCACATTCTTGACTGAAACTTGTGAATAACTTGTAGCAAAACATATCAAATAATTTGTACTTGCTGAAAGCTTGTATGTAGAACAATATTAAACGTTCATCAATCAATGCAGGGTTTTTTCACCAGAACTTGGTCATAATGCATTGTCTCAATCTAAGTCATGAGTTTGTTTTTAAGTGTTAGTAATTTTGGGGAAAACTTGCAAACATCCAGTTCCAAGAAGAGCTTCTGAAAGGCCTCAAAAGTGTGCCTCAGTTCTTTCGGGTAGCTGAGGTTTAGTGCATCCGTGAGTCCAAGAGGAACAGCACAGGCTCTTGCCAAGCCAGCCATGACTCGCATCCCCTCCACGATGATGCTGAAATCCTCCTGAGAATCCCTCTTGCAGATTTCATTATGTGCTGCAGGATATCTCCATTTCACACTGTAAAACAAACATTAAAGAAGTATTTTTATCTCGTCTGTCTCATTATAAGTCTGTCCATAATTATAAACTTGATTTGTGTACGGTTGTAAAAATTTCTTATAACAGCTTAAAATGCTAAGACAACTACAAGTAAACCATTATAGTTTATTTTCTTTGTAATCACTGAAACATAAAAATATTATGTTTCTGCGGACCACAAAGACTGTCACAATAACATAAGTACAGTTTCACCAATGACAGAGGGTGTATTAAGGAAGAAAAAATAAAATAAATTTGACACTATTGTAGGGGGGGGGGGTTAAATTTCGATGGTCCACTATTGACATTCTACTAACTGTATAGTAACTACATGTCAACTAACTCAGAGTATTAGTAGACTGCTAGGTTAGGGTTAATAGAGTAAGTTAACATGTAGTTGATGTTACTTATAGTCAGTAGAATGTCTAAAGTGGACCAAAACACCATACTCTTGGATGAGGTCATCCTCTTTTTCACCCAGATAACAGATCAAGCAACGGAGGACAACGTCTCTCAACATGTCGATGTTTTTATCGGGATTCTGATCGGGAAGTTTGTAAATGAGCATCACCCAAAAATAACAAACAAATATTGATATGTTATGAAAGTAGCTTACCTGCAGTATGGGATAGCTAGCTCCGTAGTGTCCGACGTTTAGAGGCATTCCTTCGCACATTGCTTGATTTGTTCCCATCGGACTTCAGAAGGGCTGCGGACCTTTCCCAACACCTTCTCCGACGTGAAGAATACACTTTACGGATGTTAATCGAGCTTGATCGCCGCTATCAGATGAAGATGCGCTGCTTACGTCCTCCTCCATGTTTACATGTGCGTAGTGATATTAGCTTGATTTTGGCTGTGACCTACTTACATTTTCGATGCTGATTGGTTGAAAATCTAGCTCAACAGTTTTATATGTCTCAATACGCAGTCAATATAGTGCGCCAATAAATTACACTTTTCTCATTAACTGCAGGATAATGTGTGGAGAACTTTTTGCTTGGATACCTTTTATTAACGTTGAACATATTGAGCAAAAGAAAATGTAGTGCCCCGTTTGTCGGAGCGAAACTGAACGATACAGCTCGCGTACAGCGGCCTACTGGGCTCAGAAAGCCTAAACCCGACATCAGCACATGTTGTTCAGGAGCGTTTCAAGGAAATCCTCCTCGCTCCTCCAGACACAAACTCCAGCATGTTCAGCTGTCAGACGCGACTGGAACTAAAGAAGAGCTTTTTGGCAGCAAACACACCAGATGGGATATAAAGTTCCCCATATACGGGTAAATACAGCGCTGGACCTCTAATGCTGTGGGGCAATACTCTGCTGGAGGTCCTGGACTTCTCCAGATACATGGCATCATGGATTCTAGCAAATACAAGAGGGTCGGGTCATGAGTGTGCCGGGTTGGTTCAGGTCGGGCCGTGAGTGTGTGTGTCGGGTCGGGCCGTGAGTGTGTGTCGGGTCGGGCCGTGAGTGTGTCGTGTCGGGTCGGGCCGTGAGTGTGTGTCGGGTCGGGCCGTGAGTGTGTGTGTCGGGTCGGGCCGTGAGTGTGTGTGTCGGGTCGGGCCGTGAGTGTGTGTGTCGGGTCGGGCCGTGAGTGTGTGTGTCGGGCCGGGCCCTGAGTGTGTGTGTCGGGTCGGGCCGTGAGTGTGTGTGTCGGGTCAGGCCGGGCCGTGAGTGTGTGTGTCGGGTCAGGCCGGGCCGTGAGTGTGTGTGTCGGGTCGGGCCGTGAGTGTGTGTGTCGGGTCAGGCCGGGCCGTGAGTGTGTGTGTCGGGTCGGGCCGTGAGTGTGTGTGTCGGGTCAGGCCGGGCCGTGAGTGTGTGTGTCGGGTCGGGCCGTGAGTGTGTGTGTCGGGTCGGGCCGTGAGTGTGTGTGTCGGGTCAGGCCGGGCCGTGAGTGTGTGTGTCGGGTCGGGCCGTGAGTGTGTGTGTCGGGTCAGGCCGGGCCGTGAGTGTGTGTGTCGGGTCGGGCCGTGAGTGTGTGTGTCGGGTCAGGCCGGGCCGTGAGTGTGTGTGTCGGGTCGGGCCGTGAGTGTGTGTGTCGGGTCGGGCCGTGAGTGTGTGTGTCGGGTCAGGCCGGGCCGTGAGTGTGTGTGTCGGGTCGGGCCGTGAGTGTGTGTGTCGGGTCAGGCCGGGCCGTGAGTGTGTGTGTCGGGTCGGGTCGGGCCGTGAGTGTGTGTGTCGGGTCGGGCCGTGAGTGTGTGTGTCGGGTCGGGCCGTGAGTGTGTGTGTCGGGTCGGGTCGGGCCGTGAGTGTGTGTGTCGGGTCGGGTCGGGCCGTGAGTGTGTGTGTCAGGTCGGGTCGGGCCGTGAGTGTGTCGGGTCGGGTCGTGAGTGTGTCGGGTCGGGTCGGGCCGTGAGTGTGTGTGTCGGGTCGGGCCGTGAGTGTGTGTGTCGGGTCGGGCCGTGAGTGTGTGTGTCGGGTCGGGTCGGGCCGTGAGTGTGTGTGTCGGGTCGGGCCCTGAGTGTGTGTGTCGGGTCGGGCCGTGAGTGTGTGTGTCGGGCCGGGCCCTGAGTGTGTGTGTCGGGTCGGGCCGTGAGTGTGTGTGTCGGGTCAGGCCGGGCCGTGAGTGTGTGTCGGGTCAGGCCGTGAGTGTGTGTGTCGGGTCGGGTCGGGCCGTGAGTGTGTGTGTCGGGTCGGGCCCTGAGTGTGTGTGTCGGGTCGGGCCCTGAGTGTGTGTGTCGGGTCGGGCCGTGAGTGTGTGTGTCGGGTCAGGCCGGGCCGTGAGTGTGTGTGTCGGGTCAGGCCGGGCCGTGAGTGTGTGTGTCGGGTCAGGCCGGGCCGTGAGTGTGTGTCGGGTCGGGCCGTGAGTGTGTCGTGTCGGGTCGGGCCGTGAGTGTGTCAGGTCGGGTCGGGCCGTGAGTGTGTCAGGCCGGGTCGGGCCGTGAGTGTGTCAGGTGGGGTCGGGCCGTGAGTGTGTCAGGCCGGGTCGGGCCGTGAGTGTGTCAGGCCGGGTCGGGCCGTGAGTGTGTCAGGTCGGGTCGGGCCGTGAGTGTGTCAGGTCGGGTCGAGTCGTGAGTGTGTGTGTCGGGTCGGGCCGTGAGTGTGTGTGTCGGGTCGGGCCGTGAGTGTGTCAGGTCGGGTCGGGCCGTGAGTGTGTGTCGGGTCGGGTCGTGAGTGTGTCGGGTCGGGTCGGGCCGTGAGTGTGTGTGTGTCGGGTTGGGCCGTGAGTGTGTGTGTCGGGTCGGGCCGTGAGTGTGTGTGTCGGGTCGGGTCGGGCCGTGAGTGTGTGTGTCGGGTCAGGCCGGGCCGTGAGTGTGTGTCGGGTCGGGCCGTGAGTGTGTGTGTGTCGGGTTGGGCCGTGAGTGTGTGTGTCGGGTCGGGCCGTGAGTGTGTGTGTCGGGTCAGGCCGGGCCGTGAGTGTGTGTGTCGGGTCAGGCCGGGCCGTGAGTGTGTGTCGGGTCGGGCCGTGAGTGTGTCGTGTCGGGTCGGGCCGTGAGTGTGTCGTGTCGGGTCGGGCCGTGAGTGTGTCAGGTCGGGTCGGGCCGTGAGTGTGTCAGGCCGGGTCGGGCCGTGAGTGTGTCAGGTCGGGTCGAGTCGTGAGTGTGTGTGTCGGGTCGGGCCGTGAGTGTGTGTGTCGGGTCGGGCCGTGAGTGTGTCAGGTCGGGTCGGGCCGTGAGTGTGTCAGGTCGGGTCGGGCCGTGAGTGTGTCAGGTCGGGTCGAGTCGTGAGTGTGTGTGTCGGGTCGGGCCGTGAGTGTGTGTGTCGGGTCGGGCCGTGAGTGTGTCAGGTCGGGTCGGGCCGTGAGTGTGTGTCGGGTCGGGTCGTGAGTGTGTCGGGTCGGGTCGGGCCGTGAGTGTGTGTGTGTCGGGTTGGGCCGTGAGTGTGTGTGTCGGGTCGGGCCGTGAGTGTGTGTGTCGGGTCGGGTCGGGCCGTGAGTGTGTGTGTCGGGTCGGGCCGTGAGTGTGTGTGTCGGGTCGGGCCGTGAGTGTGTGTGTCGGGTCGGGTCGGGCCGTGAGTGTGTGTGTCAGGTCGGGTCGGGCCGTGAGTGTGTGTGTCGGGTCGGGTCGTGATGTGTCGGGTCGGGTCGGGCCGTGAGTGTGTGTGTCGGGTTGGGCCATGAGTGTGTCAGGTCGGGTCGGGCCGTGAGTGTGTCAGGCCGGGTCGGGCCGTGAGTGTGTCAGGCCGGGTCGGGCCGTGAGTGTGTCAGGTCGGGTCGAGTCGTGAGTGTGTGTGTCGGGTCGGGCCGTGAGTGTGTCAGGTCGGGTCGGGCCGTGAGTGTGTGTCGTGTCGGGTCGGGTCGTGAGTGTGTCGGGTCGGGTCGGGCCGTGAGTGTGTGTGTGTCGGGTTGGGCCGTGAGTGTGTGTGTCGGGTCGGGCCGTGAGTGTGTGTGTCGGGTCGGGTCGGGCCGTGAGTGTGTGTGTCGGGTTGGGCCGTGAGTGTGTGTGTCGGGTCGGGCCGTGAGTGTGTGTGTCGGGTCGGGTCGGGCCGTGAGTGTGTGTGTCAGGTCGGGCCGTGAGTGTGTCAGGTCGGGTCGGGCCGTGAGTGTGTGTCGTGTCGGGTCGGGTCGTGAGTGTGTCGGGTCGGGTCGGGCCGTGAGTGTGTGTGTGTCGGGTCGGGCCGTGAGTGTGTGTGTCGGGTCGGGCCGTGAGTGTGTCAGGTCGGGTCGGGCCGTGAGTGTGTGTCGTGTCGGGTCGGGTCGTGAGTGTGTCGGGTCGGGTCGGGCCGTGAGTGTGTGTGTGTCGGGTTGGGCCGTGAGTGTGTGTGTCGGGTCGGGCCGTGAGTGTGTGTGTCGGGTCGGGTCGGGCCGTGAGTGTGTGTGTCGGGTTGGGCCGTGAGTGTGTGTGTCGGGTCGGGCCGTGAGTGTGTGTGTCGGGTCGGGTCGGGCCGTGAGTGTGTGTGTCAGGTCGGGTCGGGCCGTGAGTGTGTGTGTCGGGTCGGGTCGTGAGTGTGTCGGGTCGGGTCGGGCCGTGAGTGTGTCGGGTTGGGCCGTGAGTGTGTCGGGTCGGGCCGTGAGTGTGTCGGGTCGGGCCGTGAGTGTGTCGGGTCGGGCCGTGAGTGTGTCAGGTCGGGTCGGGCCGTGAGTGTGTGTGTCGGGTCGGGTCGTGAGTGTGTCGGGTCGGGTCGGGCCGTGAGTGTGTGTCGGGTTGGGCCGTGAGTGTGTCGGGTCGGGCCGTGAGTGTGTCAGGTCGGGTCGGGCCGTGAGTGTGTGTCGTGTCGGGTCGGGTCGTGAGTGTGTCGGGTCGGGTCGGGCCGTGAGTGTGTGTGTGTCGGGTTGGGCCGTGAGTGTGTGTGTCGGGTCGGGCCGTGAGTGTGTGTGTCGGGTCGGGTCGGGCCGTGAGTGTGTGTGTCGGGTTGGGCCGTGAGTGTGTGTGTCGGGTCGGGCCGTGAGTGTGTGTGTCGGGTCGGGTCGGGCCGTGAGTGTGTGTGTCAGGTCGGGTCGGGCCGTGAGTGTGTGTGTCGGGTCGGGTCGTGAGTGTGTCGGGTCGGGTCGGGCCGTGAGTGTGTCGGGTTGGGCCGTGAGTGTGTCGGGTCGGGCCGTGAGTGTGTCGGGTCGGGCCGTGAGTGTGTCGGGTCGGGCCGTGAGTGTGTCAGGTCGGGTCGGGCCGTGAGTGTGTGTGTCGGGTCGGGTCGTGAGTGTGTCGGGTCGGGTCGGGCCGTGAGTGTGTGTCGGGTTGGGCCGTGAGTGTGTCGGGTCGGGCCGTGAGTGTGTCAGGTCGGGTCGGGCCGTGAGTGTGTGTGTCGGGTCGGTCGCTCTCACCTGCTCCAGCACGTCCAGCCTCAGGTCCAGTTTGCTCAGAACCACGTCTCCGCCCCATAACGACAGCTGCAGGTCCGACGGCTTCAGGTTCTTTATGTAGCGGTTCACATAACTCATCAAGAGAGGAGAAACATACGACTCCAGCATCCTGACCAGCCCTCGTGCCTGACACACACACACACACACACACACACACTTCAGTCAGATGACCACAGAATCTATATAGACCATAAGTCTGGCATGAAAACAATCATCTGAACGAACACACACACACACACACACGATGCTGCTGTTCAGTCACAGACGGGTTTATAACTCAGAGACTCATCTCAGCTGTCCGTCACTGTTGAGACGGCCAATCACATCACAGTAGGCGGAGCTTCAGATTTAACAGTCAAAGTCTAACACTTCAGAACTTTTTTTATAACATAAATGTTAAATCATGAAAGAGAGTAATATTGAGGACACACCAAATCCTAATTTTTTATTTGTCAAATTTACCATTCAGTCTCCATCTATACAGCGCTTTAACAGTAGAGTTTAACAGCAGCTTTACAGTGATAACAGGAGATTACAGTAACAGAGTGTTTAGGCTTTACAGCAGCTCTAGAATAAAGTTATTGTCCAGATAAAGTTAGTTTTGATCGATTCACTTCCGTTGTAAAGATCATTAGTGATTAACTTAGGGGCCGCTGACACGACACCGCTCTACAGAAGACAGAGACTGTTAATCAGTGTTTGAGCTCGAGAACACACACTCTGAAACAGGATCGAGGTGCAAGAGCTGAACATTTTAGAGAAAAGGTTCATCACACACACACGCATCACATGTCAGTCTAGAGAGGATGGAAAATGATATGCCATGAATTGATAAATAAATCATTAGCGTGATTCACGTCAATGTCAGTATGAGGAGACAGTTTTCAGCATATTAGGCATAAGATTAAGAGAGAATGTGCATTAATCTAATAACCCTGGTGTCATGAAGGCCTTTCAGTCCCTCCTCTAATGACGGCCCTTCAGCACACACTGACACACACACTGACACACACACTGACACACACACTGACGGACAGTAACCAGTCACCCACGGGCCCTCAGCTGCCTCACCCTAAAGGGCTTGCTCTAGCTTTGGAATTCATTTTAGTAACTGTTTTCTTTGTTTATTCCCCTAATCTTTCTCTTATTGACTGTGTGTGTGTGTGTTAGGTTTAGGGGTAGGGTTAGTGTGTGTGTGTGTGTGTGTATTCTGATCTGATCTCAGAGAGTTAAAGAGAAACTTCGGCTGAAAATGGGAATCGCACATCTGTCTAATGCTGTTTTTCATTAAACATAATAGAACATTTGTTCCTCTCTATTACAGATCTATATTTCAGAAACAAGCCTGTGTTTGACAAATTGTGCCCACATGTATTACAAGTCATTACAAACAGACGCTTTATTCAATAAGTGATTAAAATGTGGGCCTTTATTGCACTGATATAATCCTAGAATATGAATATTAACAGACGCTGAGTTTTACTGTCTTCACTGACAGACGAACATGAGCAGACTGAAGGTGATGAGACACAGGGCCCACAACTGATCTAAATCATCCAGATAGAAATGTATTGCCCATTTTTAATGAGAAAGTGCCCAAGCAACAATCGGTCGGCAAGATTGCCCTGCAACATTGCTCAAAAAGTTGCCCTGTGTATCATCACCTTGACAGAGCTCGAACACAACTAACACAACTGAACACAACTGAACACGACTAACACAACTGAACACAACTAACACACCTGAACACGACTAACACACCTGAACACGACTAACACACCTGCAGCTGATGTCAGTCTCAACATCCGCCGAAACACTTCAGTGCCACAAACACACAAACACACACTTACAGCTTCATCCGACGCGTCCAGCTGCTACAGAAATACAAACACCAGCGCATCCATCACTTCCGCATACGCTGACTCCACGTGACTGCCTGCGTCGACGCGTCACTTCCGGCACGGAGCTGACGCAAAAGCAGATGAGCGTCATCATAGTTCGAGTCAAATCTGTTTTAAGACGCATTCCGTTTCTTTCACACACAAAACACTGATTATCAGTTGCGTTAAAGTCAAAATAAGCGTGTTTAATATTCATTGGCTACTGAAACACGGATTATACACAAATAATCATTAATTCTGACAGTAGCCTACGCTAATCATTAAACACCAATATACTAATAATCAGTGTTTATAATGCAGGAATGATTTATTGACCCGTATCAAATAACTCTCCTGTTAATGTGTGAAGGACTGGCTCTAAACTCTATTATAAACTCTATACAGTTCGACTGGAGCACATCTGAAACTCCTGCACTTTAATCCACATTAATATAAATCAGTAGGCTACATAAATAGGCTACTGATGTTACAATATTAAACACAGTCTAATAATTTAATAGACACTGACAATACTTGTTATTATTATTAGCTATTATTATTGTAGCCAATAGCCTACATTAAAACGCTATTAAACACGGACTAGCCAATTAATCATTATAAAATACTGTCCATAGTTTTTTTTTTTTTATTAAACACTCCTAATGATTATTATAAACACACGAATATTGTAATCCAGCTAATCAGACAGGACAGAGTCTGGGAATCACTGAACGCATGTGTTTATATTTCTGCAGCTGTTATTCCAGCTCAATATCTGTCATATTTATTCTGTTTTTGTGATTTGCCTTTTGCTGAATATTGAATATAATCATTTGATGGTAATCAGTTTCAGATCATCTTCTGTTTTATTCACGGGATTACACCTTTATGAATCGCGTCGTTTGTACGAAATTAGGCTATTAAAACGCATTATAATTAATCTGAAATTTATTTTACGGGTTAAATTTCACATGCTCATCATTCACGCGCGTCATTGTTGATTTCCAATATTCACAGTCAATATTACCTAATATTAATTCAAATATTAATTTCCCTTTTTCAAATGTTTCCGTCTGTGTGTCAAACGAAGGTTTTTTCTGTTTACAAAATGTGAGAATTTTACTTTCTACCTTATTTTTTTAATAAGGATTATTATTAACTAATATCGCGTGTTTTAATATGAAACCATGGATCTGTGCATTATTTTAGAGATTAAAGACGACGCGCTGTTACTGAGTGATGATTAATCTGAAATCATCAGTTCACGCGCAACAAAAATACATTAGCCTAAATCGCACAATGTTACAATTTTAATGACGTGAGTAACAAATACATTTCAGACAATAGAATATTTATATCGAATTATTTTTAAAAAAAATAAGTTTTTACACAATCCTAGGCTATATTTTATAGTGTATGTGTACTATTCAGTTTAACGCTCTGCAATTTAATAGGCTCTAATAATAATTATTGTAACAATTAAAATTAAAGACCATAACTGTTATTTCACGTTAGAAATCATTACAAGTCTCACGACATGTAATTAGAATTAGGAAATAAAATAAAATATTATAGGCTATAACAATAAAATATTATTCTTTTTTTCTTTTCTTTTAAAGAACAAACGAAGATGTGTTTGATACAGAACTTCAGTCACAATTCAAAAGAGAAACTCTTTTATTCCAGAATTGATGCGTCTCATCTCATAAGTGTCTTTGGCTAAAACACATGTCCTCAATCCTGTGCTGTTTCGGCAGCTGCTTTATTTACACACTGATGTGAACACAGTTTGAGTTCAGATGCAGGTAATAATAAAAATAACAATCAAGACTTTATTTACATGAGTTCACAGAGTCTGTTTAGATGCTTGAGTCTCCGGTTTTCTGTCCGCCAGAGGCTCGAGATCAGAGAGTTCCTGTTAGTTAGTAGTCCAGCTGTGTGTGTGTGTGTGTGTGTGTGTGTGTGTGTGTGTGTGTGTGTGTGTGTGTGTGTGTGTGTGTGTGTGTGTGTGTGTGTGTGTGTGTGTGTGTGTGTGTGTGTGTGTGTGTGTGTGTGTGTGTGTGTCAGACTGTGTTAGTTAGAGTGTGTGAGGAGAGTGTGTGTGTGTGAGGAGTGTGTGTGAGTGTGTGGCGCCTCAGGTCGCAGTTGCGCCGGAACTCTTTCCCGCAGCGGAGGCAGCAGAAAGGCTTGAGGTCTGTATGGGTGAGAAGGTGAGTTTTCAGGTTACTTCTTTGATTAAAGGTTCTTCCGCATGTCGGGCATTTGTGAGGAGATTCCTGTTCAGATTTGAAGCAAGCAAAGGATTATTCCCTTTAGTTTTCCATCAAATATGCATAAGCTTCATTCTCAACATTTGAGGCCCAGGTGATAAAAGCGCGAGGATCGTCAATAATCAATCAATCAATCAATCAATCAAGAATGCGCGTGCACCCTAAACATGACACGATAATGTAGAGCTCGACGGGCACGAGCGCGTGTTTCTGCAGAACATTATTCATGTATATATAAACAGTGCATCGATTTACCTGCAAGTGCAACGTTTTATGAACCGCCAAAGTCCGCGACTGGCAGAAGCCCTTGCCGCACTCCTGGCACTTGAAGGGCTTCTCCTTGGAGTGGATATATCTGCAAAACACGATCAGTGTCGATCATAACTCACAGCTGCACAAACACATCCTTCCCTTATCTCTCTAAAGCTGCTTTTAAAACTATCTGTATTGTAAAAAGCGCTATACACTGTGAACAATTATCAATAAGTTATGACATGTTTTTACATTGCTCATCAAAATAAGTTAAGCAGTTTTCAACTTTTTTTGTAAGTTATACACGAATCAACTCATTTTTTTAAGTCAGTTCAAAGTAATTTAACATCCAAGTTGACTGTACTTGAAAATGTAACGCAGCAACTTTTACAGTGATAAAGCTTGATTCATAACTAATACCTGCGAGAGCGCGCAGAACATCATCAGCTCGTGCACACTCTTACAGATACAGGTTTTAAAGTGTATTCCCAGAGACCGTCAGCTCATTACACAGCCATTACTCCCATTACTCCCATTACTCTCCGTGTGAAGGAGCTTTCCTCATAAAGAACCGCGAGTAAGATTGGATGTTAAATGTTCTTTATGGAACCATCGATGCAAATAGAGAACATTTATATTTCAGAGTGCAGCTTCCCACACACACACACACACACACACACACACACACACACACACACACACACATACACACACTCTCTCTCTCACACACACACACACACACACATACACACACTCTCTCTCTCACACACACACACACACACACACACACACACACACACACCTGTGGTCCCGCAGGTGGTCTTGTCTCCTGAAGGCCTTGTGGCAGATGTCGCAGGTGTACGGGCGCTCGTCCGTGTGTGTGCGCTCGTGGATCAGCAGATTGTAGGACTTTGTAAAGTGTCTCCCGCAAAACTTGCAAATAAATTCCTTTTTGCTCTTGGACGGGAGTCTCCCGCGCGCGGGCTTGCGGTCCGGGCTCAGTTTCCCCAGTGTTCCCAGTGTCCCCAGCTCCGCTCCCGGTTTCGGCGGGTCCTCCTGCGTGGCCGCGAGCGCGAGGTTGGCGAAGTCGAAGCGCGGTCTGTCCTTGTGCAGCGCGGGCACGACGCGCGTCACCGATCCGTGTTTGGGGAACAGATGCGCGGCGAAGGGAAGCGTCGCGGTGAACGCGAAGCGCGGGTCCAGGAGCCCCGGGATCTGCGGGTACCCGAGGGCCCAGTGGTGGATCACGCTGTGGCCGGTGTTAAGCCCGTACCGGGGATCCGCGCCCGCGGGGAACTGCAGGAACAGCGCCGGGTGAAGCGGCACCGGGGCCGGGAGAGTCTTACTGCCCATATCAGAACCGCCGAGCAGATCCTGGGGGAAAACACACAGGAACAGTATTTATTCACAGTTTTAAAGTTGTTTCCTTATTCAAAATATGCATGGAAAAACATGCAGGAAATATATTTTTCAGTTGCATATTTATTAGGCCTATTGTGGGTTTCTCACATATATAGCATTGCTTCGCGCAGTCATCATTTTATTATCCACAGATTTATTTCTTGCTTTTTTTTTATTTTGTCTTTTTTTTTTTTCATGTGCCGCTCGGTAGGCCTATATCCAAATTTAAACAAGTTGTCATCAAAACACTTTTTTAAACAAACAGGTTACGACTGTATTGTTTTGTGTGTGTCGCCTTTGGCTTTTGGTTTGCTTTATAGGGACATTTAATATCCAGCTGTATTATTGATCTCCTGCATTGACAGCATTACTAGCCTATTTGAGAACTGAACTGAGCTGGACGATGACATCACGGATTTCTCCAGAGCGGCTATATATATATATGAATGAACTAAATTAATAATTTTTTTATAACAGAAATGAAGCATCACTGAACTCGCTTAAGCTGGACTGAGACGCTCTTCTCTTCTAGACACACACTCTGTTGCATTATTCTCCTGTTATCTCTGTAAAGCTGCTCTGAAACTCTGTGCTGTAAAAGCGCTGTATAAATAAAGCTGATTTGACTTGTTCAAATTATGCATATAATATTCGGCAGAAAGTCACGAAACAGTCTTGTCAGACGAGCCGAAATGAAATAAGCGAACATGAGTTTGAATCATCAGGCCTGATATTAATCTGGCTTTATCTCTCTAATATCTCTTATATGTCTCATATCTCGGAATATTTCTGAAGGACAGTAATTTAGGATGTTTGGGATCTTCACATGTCAGACTGACTGTAAGCTACTTTTCATGCAGAAATTAAAATATTATTGTGAGCATAACCTTAAATAAGCGAGCGGCCAAGGCCTGTGAGAGGAGGACTGCGCTGACCTTTATGAGACACACCGAGTTTCTATTAATACGCGTTTCTTGCTCCAGATGTGATCAGAACCCAGCGGCACCAACACGACAATAGAACTTTTCCGATTTATTATTATTATTATTATTAT